AAATGCAATTCTTATTAATAAAAAAGAGTTAACAAAGAATAATTGYATAACAGTGTTTTTGACTAAAATGCTCTGTCAAGCTAACCTCCCTTTTGTGTCAAATAATTCTTTGTACAGTTTATTTGTACCATGGGATTTGGTTGGCTGCTCACGTGGAGCCCACATTCAAGGATCTGCAAAAGGCTGATGTCATGGTCTGGTCAAGAAGAGGACTTCTCATGATCATACTTGCTTTGAGAAGTGAACGTAATTTTTTTTACAGTAGAAGATGAGTCTCACCTACAGTGCAGGCAACAGGATGCAAAATGGGCCTCTCCAGAAAGATGAGCTCTAGTGTAGAAGCATTCTCTTACTCAGGCCCCTCAAATACTTTGCTAGGGTTAGACAAAGGGCAGACCCAGGTCCTTTGGTCCAAGGAATTTGGTTGCTCTGTTTTTTTAACTCAAATTCTCTGTGATCTCTGCAGTGTAACAGGTGACAGTGCCAAGCAGCTGGACAATGGCACAGCCAGAGCTCAGTTGTGTGATTTAGATGTTCAGGTCTTCTCAGCACYTGTGTCAAACATGAAGTGTGAGTAATGACCAACCAATTCACTGATCAGAGAAGACCAGAGACATGTCAGAAGAACCTTCAATCAACAAATGATGATGTCARATTACTCTGAGGAAACAACTGAGCCATGTTCTCTGATTGTTTATTTGTTGAGTTCATTTGTAACCTCTTTGTACCTGGTGGACAATTAGGGAGGTAGGACTTTGTCTGCACTAAAGTGGCCCCCACCACCTGATTCATCAGTCGGGTGACACAGAACCATGGGCACAACTTTGGCACCCCTGGCTGTGAAACAGAGCATCAGAGAAGGACTTCTCGAGGAACATAGCTCATGCATTTAAGTTTTTTGTTCAGAGCAATAATTTTTAGGTTTTTTTCCTCAATAATTTTTCAAAAGGAAAAGCAACATAGGGTAAGCTAATCCTGTAGCTCACAGCAAGAGAAAGCTTCTTGCTGCACAACTTCCTAAAGGATCACCTTTTGAGGGTCAGGAAAATCCTAGAAGCAAAGCATTACATTAAATGCAGGATCTAACAGCCTCCTTCAGGGGAACATCTCACTTTTCCCCTTTCTGATACACTTGCAGCTCAGCACACTGATCTCCTTTCTGCCACATCACTGTTCCTGCTGGGCAAACCAGGATCTCCCTTAAAAACATGATTTCAGCAGGGCTTCTGGACTACATGTGGTCAAACTGTGTAAATAACCTGGCAGCTGGRAGATTTTAAAATTTCTGTTTGAGAGAGAAGAGAGGGTATATCTGAATGAGGCAGATGGAGGCTGAARGAATGAAAATCACCACTGAGAATTGACAGGACCCTGTGCATGCTGCTAAAGTGCTAACCTCAGACATTTTTTCAGCCTCCTACCCTTTGACTCACTACCCACAGGGAGGTTAAGGCTGGGTTATTACTGGAAAAAATTGCATAACTGTGACAGATGTTTTCTGTTTCAGTATGAGTGATAAGCTCTGGGTCCCCTTGCTGTCCTTCCTGTCAAGGCCAGGTGTGTCCCCAAGGTGTGTGCCAAGGTAAAGCACATCTGGGCAGTCCTGTGCAGTGACTGTGGGATGCAGAGCTGGCTCTCTCTCCAGAGCCCATGGCTGCTTAGGCAGGGTCCTGTTCCCAGGGCAGGCTCTGTAGCAGGACACTGTGTTCAGAAGGGTCCTGTACACTGTGTGTTCTCCAGCTGTGTTCCACTGTCATGGCTCACACACCTTCCCCTGGMCTGAAGGTCGGCTCTGTCCTGCCTATCAAGTTGAAACAGAGCAAAGCAGAGCTGCAGGGGAAAGGATTAAACCTGACAATGTCTCATTTCCTTGCCTCCTACTCCATTAGGAGCTCCWTGTTTGGCTTTCCTGTGGCATCCTCCATCTCAAAAGCCTGGACAAACACATCAGCTSAGCCCCAGCTCTTCTCTGCACTGGAGAAAGGTTCATGTCCTGGGTACCACACATCTGGTTCAGCTGTAGCACAGAGAGAGCCCGATGGCCTTGCCTTACCCAGCATGTCAGGAACTGACTTCCCTTTGGCCACCTCAGCTCAGACAGCAGTCTTTGGGTGGTGCATGGCTCAGGAGCTGCACACCTCTGCAGCAGGCAGGTGCCATCCCAGTGGGTGCAGCATGGGCTGTGCCACAGGGAGGTGGCACYGGCACAGCCTCCTGCTGCTTTCTTTGAGCAGCCTTTCAGAGGGAGGTAGTGATTTGGAGTTTTACTGTTTTATAGCTGACTGAACAGTAAGTGTAAATGGGAGAAGTCTCTGAAATGCCTGCACACTGTGAGTATGGGTTTTTTCCTGCATTTCTGCTCATGGCCTTGTGCTCCGAAGTGTGGTCTCTGGGATGGATGTCTCATGGCACCTGTGGGTGCCTGCTCTGTTGTTACACAGCCCTTGGGATAAACTTTTTTTCCTTCTGTCTGCTCATGGTTTCTCTGTATGAAGCTTGGCCCATTGCCTTCACTCCTGCCACTGTGCACTTCTAAAGAGAGGCTGGCTCCAACACCATTCAACTTGACTTGAACATAACCTCAGGGCCAGCAAAAGGATCTTCAGGAGATGCCTGTACCTCATCCGAGGAGAGAYGGAGACCAGACAATAACTTAACAGCCAGAGCTAAAGAGAAATTCTGCATGCATTTAATATGTCTTTTCAGATGGTAAAGTTTTATCTGAAGAGTCATATGACTCAAAAAGAGCATGGTTGCTTGTCACGAGTGCTGTTCTCAGACACATCTGTAAATGTTTTGGCTTTTTCTACCCCCTCCCTTGCTAATATTCTGAGTAGTATAAAAGCATAAATTAAAATAACTTGTCATTTGTTACTACATCAGGAATTATCTTCAGTTCTCTACAAGATAAAAAAAATGTCTGCTAACATGCAAACAGTTTCCTGTTTAYACATTTAAAAATTATTATATATCGTTCGCTAGTTACCTTAGATGGATTTAATAATAGGATTTCAATAATTTATCCTACTCTGTGTGTGCCATGTACTGTATCTGACACACTGTGGAGTTCTCATGGCTGAGGGTAAACAACCTTTTTCATAGCCTTTTATGCAACATACTGTATAAATCTCTTTTAAGGCAAGAACAAGTTTCTACACAGAGTGGATGTTTGTTATAATATATCTGAAAAAGACAGAAAATCCCTGCTTTGTATAGGGCTTACCCTACAGATGGCCACCTCACATCACACAAAATGTGGTCACAGGGCCATTTATAAAATTCAGCTACCGATCTGGTTTGCAATTTAATCTACAAAGTGCATTAAAATGAGAATAATTCATTGATGCCTTTGCCATGCCTGAATTTACTCATTTGTTCATATGACACCACAGAAGTATGAGTTATATTTGACAGCCCAGCTGTCCACGTCTGGGAAAGGCAGTTCATCTGCTGCCAGACTCCTCTCTCAGGTTAAATTATTCAACAAGCAACTAAAGTGGATCATCTTTATTCATTCTGACATTTTCAGTTTCATTTGAAGTTTAGCTGATGAAGCTGTTTTATGGTATTTCATTGTGTATCTTCCTTTTTCCTGCTTGTTGAAACTTGTAAAATGTGCATATTGTCTGAGGTTTTTGATAGATGACCTTCCCTTCACTATGGCTTCTAAAGTATTTTGTCTCCTATGCAATGACAAACCCTTTTTTATGTCTTTGGGTGCTGCTGTTACTCACTGATTTATCTGAGTACTTTTTCCTGTCATACTTTCTTGTCATATGAAATAAATTGCCTTGGTTTTGTTTGMTTTAGATGCACAGGCTGGGGAAATTAATACCATTATGTGGATTTCCTTTAAAATAACAATACTGATATTCTTTTTCTCCTGCAGTATTTTTTCTGCCTTTAGCTGAACAGCTAATACCATTTGTTAATTGGAGCTGTTAATACAAGTCTTGGGTTTTACAGTGGTTTTTTTCCACCGTACAAAGCTGATGTAGGTAGTCAGGAGAGATGTTCCTTTGCTAGAGCTGCTGGTTTCCCAAAGGAGTTCTTAGGAGAAAGTTCACAGATCACCTTAGGCATGGTACCATTCTTTTCAAGAAATGTTTCCTCAACTTTTTCTTTTCACATATGCCTCTACTTCAAAGCCAAAGATTGAAGTTCACTTTATTGCTTGGCTTTGGCTTTGMGGGTTGAGCGTTGTGCTACAGTCCTTGAGGAGACTGAACAGGAACATGTTAAAGAAATAAGTGCCTTTCTTGGGATTATTTACCTTTGGTGACAGAGGTTTCAAAATTGCTTGAGACTTTTGGAGCAGACAAGGATTCCCACATATGACCCTGCTGTGATAGTGCAGAGAGTATTTACACCCAACCACAGGTACCTTTCCTTCCTGCAATTGCAGTCACCAGCAAGCCACTCTGTTTTAGGATAATTGTCAGTCACCTACAAAGCTAAAGAAYAGAAACTGAAAAGAAATCAGAGGAAACTATACCAGGACTTCATTAGGGTGATTCAAATTGCACAGCTCAATATGTTCCTTTATTTTCAAGGGAAAATGTGTTTTCTATAGTGATGATAAACTTGGAGGTGTAGGAGGAAATTTTTGCATYGTCTTTGCCTCAGGCAAGGCAGTGAGGACTATATGGCTCACAAGAAACTTTGCAGAATAAGGCATGCTGTGACTGGAATTTATCAATATTCATGATGGCCTCTATTAACTTATTAATTTCATCTTTTGTGTCAGTCATTCCAATTCAAATTAATGTATTTTAAAGTGCTGATGAAAAGGAACTGTGAAGGAAATATTGTGGAAATTTAAATCAGGTTGCTGTGATTGGATGCTGCCCACAGGGAATATTTACCATGTGCTGAACACAGTTCATGTCCCCAACACTGCAGATTTCTGATGGGCTAAGGAAAACAGGGTATGAATCATTCAAAGATTTCCAATATAAGCATTATCCAAATAAATACCCTTCCCCCACTTGCAGAGTCTCTGGCCAAGCACTGTCCCTCTGTTCCAGCTCCTCCTTACTGCCTCTCCCCGTTTCCGGATGGGCCCTGGCCCCCAGCCCTTATCTCCTCCAGCCCCTGGGCTGTTTGCAGAGAGCAGCTATAAAGAGGCTGACAGAGCACAGAGTGGAGGAGAAATACAAGGTGCAGGAAAACAGCAGCACTGCTTGACTCACCACGACCTGCTCTGCACCATGGGGAAGGACAAGCTGCCCAGCAAACCAAACATCTTCCTCCTTCTTCTCTTCTTCCTTCCTGGAAATACTCCTCTCAACACAGAACCGTAAGCTACACATGTGGAGGGGGGAGGGAGGTCTAAATGCTTCCTTTCCCTTCAGTTTTCTTCCCAGTAATAACCAAGCCCTGAGTTTCCTGCACAGCTCTGCCAGCGCTCCCKGCTCCCATCTTGTAACCCCCTGGGACCCCTCCCCAGCACCATCTCTGCCAGTGGCCTCCTTCRCCATTCCCCCAATCTCTGCCCTCTGTGCCCACAGTCCTGCCCTGCAGCTGCCTGATAGTCCAGACTGGGGTCCTCACAATATCTTTGCCTAAGCATGTTTCTGTCAGAAGAGCTCTTAGGGCCTGGGATTTTGTGGGCATGATGCCAGAATCCAGGTTCTTACCTTTCCCAGAGTGTCCTTGCTAGATCACTAAGTTACTTCTCCCCATTCCCCTGTTGCTTCCAAGCCAGTTTGTTCCCCTTTCTCCTGCCAGTTTGTTTCCCTTGGCAGCATCAGATGTACTTGCTCTCAAAGAGGATCTGTGACCTAGATTCTGCTCCTCCGGCACGGAGCCCGGTGCCAGCAGCCTCCCTGGACACCCGCACCAGGGCTGTGCAGAGCAGCAGCACGGCTGCACTCAGCTCTGCCCATGGCCCTGGGGACAGAGAGGGGCAGCCTGGGGTGGCACAGTGGGGCTGGAGTCTGCCATGCCCATGCCAGCCTTTCCCATCAAAGTGCTGCTCTGAAGCCTCTAGTTTGGGTGGGAGCAGCCTCTGTTTTCAAACCTTGGCTGCTGCTYCTCTCGCCGTGCTGACAGGGGTGCAGTTCTCACCACCACGAGCCCTGCAATGTTTGCTGCAGAGTTTCATGCCCACGAGCCCTGGCTGAAGGTGCAGCGTTACTGCTGCCACTCCCTTTGTGGTCAGAGGTGAAGTGGTACCTGGTTCAGCCTGAAGGACCTTTGACTCACACTGCAGCATGAACCCCTGGTCCATCTGCCCTGTTTGAGTGCTTCAGGGGTAGATCAGCCAACCAAGTCTGCTTTGGGGTCAGGCAGAGCTCTCTACAGTAATCTGATGTAATAATGTTAAGAAATTTTAATTCATACTTGCCCAACATCGGGGGGAAAGGCAATGTAACCATACTGTTCTGAGCTATGGGCAACACAGAATCAGAGAACCACAGAATGGCCTGGGCTGGAAGGGACCTTTAAGATCAGCTGGTTCCAAACCCCCTGCATGGGCTGGGATGCCTTTCCCTAGACCGGGTTGTTAAGAGCTCCATTCAATCTGGCTTTAAACGGGAACAGCCTGTTTCAGGATGGGGCAGCCACAGCTTCTCTGGGCAAACTGTGCCAGTGCCTCATCACTCTCACAGTGAAATTGTCTCCCTAATATCTAATCTAAACCTTCTCTCTTTCAGTTTGAATTCATTCCCCCTTGTCCTTTCCCTTCTGAACAGTCTGTCTCCATCATTCCTGTAGATTTCTCTTTGTCCCTTACCTGAGCCCCATTCTGGGAGGGAAGAACACAGAAAGGCTGAGAGAGGTGGGAGACAGAGGGGTGTTGTTGGGGTACACAGAAGGACGACAGGAGCTCAGCAGGGAGACAGTGAACTGCTGGGTWGCAGAAGGGTAGTGGGTTTGTAAGTGCAGGACAGAGTAGTTGAGATATACAACACAGAAAGGAAACAGCTCTTGAAATGGAGATAAAAATTATACTTCCAGCCAAGACTTGCTTACTGTGTCCTGTTTAAGTAGGGATATCACTTCTTTGGGCAGCAGCACCTGCTGCTGCTCTTTCTGTTTCAGAGGTGGACAGATGGACAGGAGACACAATTAAGGCTCAAATTACATATCAGAAAAATACATATTCATCCAGTTAGAGCAGCACTGGAACAGGTGACCCAGAGAGATGGTAGAARCTCCATCTATGGTGTCCTTTGCAAAAGTCCTGTTCCAGGAGGGAAGGTGAGCTTGAAACATCCAGAGCTCCTTTGTAACAAAAACCTCTACGATTTTGGAAGAATGCAGCCGAAGGTATTGTTCTCCTGCTCTGGCTGTGCATCTAAGCTGTTTACAATGCACATGCTTGGGAGTACTCTGCATATGGKCAGAAATGTGAGGTCATAATGACACTGGAATTGGCAGGTATGGYTTTGGGCTGATGAAATTCACTGCCTTCTTTGCCTGGGTGCTTATTCTAGTGAGTAGCTGAGAGCCAATGCACAGACATTTTCCACCCCTTAAGCTACAGTTTTACTTTCTCTGTATAGACAAACCCATCACTTTTGCCTCAGCTACTGTCTCTAGGGTCTCCTATTCCTCCTTGATGCATGCCTCGGTCAGAGTCACTCCTATCTCCTCAGAACAGCTCGTTGCATGCTGAGGTCTCTTTTGTCAGCCCAGATGTTTTTTGTCCCGGGATGTCTATACATGGATTTTGTGACCTAAGTTACTTAAAAYCCTCATAGTAATTTAATTTATCTGTCTCTTTTCAACAACATATCCCAAAACACCTAAAGAGAGGTCTGTAAACAGCATGGCTTATATCTTTTTTTCAAAGGCAGGGAAGCCAGCCTAAGGGGAAGTTCTGCAAGTTGGCCAAAATTTCAGCAGAACAGTGAACAGGAAGAGAAATGAGGCCAAATTCCCCACAAACTAGGTCACACTGTCCTTTCTGTAGACTGGATGTCATTGTCACGTTGCCAGCGCCACTGACAGGGGACAGGGGGAATGACATTAGGGGAAGCAGCACGGGCTGARGCCATGGTGAGAAGGCTGTGGAAGAAAGGAAGCACTGGGGAAAGCAGAGTCACAAGTTGTAGCTCACTCCCTGGGAGGCTGGAGCTCCCTGCTTTCACAGCTCCTGCAGCAGCACGGGCTGAGCAGAGCTGCCAGCAGGCTCTTCACTGTGCTTCATCCCAGTGCCTCATGGTGAAGAAAATGCAGCTGCTGCCTGGATCCCACTGCCTCCACAGCAGCTTTAGGACTTCCCAAAAATCTCAGACAAGGCAAAAATGTAGCTCTGGATGGATYCAGCTGTATTTGTGTTCTATTGCATTTTGAACACTTCCTGACAGTCCATTTGTTACTTATTACTGATTGAGAACTTTCCAAGACTGACCAGCAGTGCTTGAGTCTGAGTGATAGTAGCTGGCTTATTATTTTCCCTTTATGAACAGTTCGCTTGCTATTTTTGCTACTCAGTTCTATCATATTAAAAACAAACAAACAAACAAACAAACTTTTCCACAAATATGTAAGTCAATTTTTAGAATTTTTTTTACTCTGCACATTTATGAGAAAATCGTGCTTTCCAGATCATTTAGGAATGTACTGAAGAACAGGGGTACAACACAAACTCTGGAGATTTTCACTGGTTCCTACCCTTTCTGTCTTATCTTTCAACCAATTAATCCAGGACAAAATTATTAAGTTGATTTATTAGTAAAATGATCCCTTTTATTAATGGAGCTCAGTTTAAGGGTCCTTTGTGAGGGATCTTTGTCAAAAGCTCTTTGAAGATGCAAGTGCACTTGAGTTGCAATAAAACACCACATTCTGAAATCCTTTGTGTGCTCATCTTAATAAGGTCCCAAACTGCAAGCACTCACATCTTTGCTCAGCATGTGAAGGATTTGGAAATCTGGATCGGCAAAGACTGGAGTAGCCAGGCAAGTGGGTGGGTTTTTTCCTCAACTGTTTTTAGCTAATGCCTTTGAGTCTCAATGGGAGATTGTGGGATATACAAAATTCAATTAACAGCCTGAAACCTTTCAAACGGTCCTTACTCCCTGCTGTGAAGCCAAACAAAACATCCTTTGTAAAGCACTCTCTATTAGCATAGAAATTGTTCCTTCTACTGCAAGCATTTTCCTGCTTTTAGGCTAATTAGTTCGACCGTTTAATATGTATAAACCCAAAATAAAATGAATGCTCATGTTAAATGCACTGCAACTCGCAGGGATAGAAATGGATTAGGCATGCCGATTTGTTAATTTCCCTTCGTTTAATACTGTTGCTTTCAAATTGTTTCACATTTCTGATGTTTCTTGCTTCCCTCTTTTCCTAGGCAGTACATGGTGCTGGTGCCTTTTATGATACACACGGAATCTCATGAGAAAATCTGCATTCAGCTGACCCACCTGAACGAGTCGGTGACGCTGAGTGCCACCCTCGAGCATCAAGGGGAGAACAGGAGCCTGATTGATGATGTGGTGTCAGAGAAAGACSTGTTCACCTGCATCCCTTTCTCTGTGAGTATCCCATCCTTGYGGGGTGATCTGCATTTATTGACGTGGCTTCGTAGATCCAAACAGATCTCAGAACTGAGAAAGAAGACACACCGCAATCAGAGACCCCTACGCTAAGACAAACAAAGGAATTCAAAGTGGATAAATGACTGTGGCAGTCTTAAGCAGACGAATTTTCCCCCATTATCACATTCTGTGTTCCATATGATATTTCTGTGCATGCATGACTTAGACAAGTCTTCTGGAACTTTGATTGACAGAATGTGCCCCTTGTTTGCTTGATCTGTGTAAACCTGAGATGAAAAATATCAGTGTGGAGTGAAAACTGTGGAAACTGGGGAATTGTTAAAGACAGAGAGGTCCATGAGGTCATTTGGCTGCTTCTAGAGCTTATTCACAACTTTTAACTGCAGAAGGCTGTTTAGTGAGTAATGTAAGCAACAGGCTCTGTACCCTAATTAATGAATCTGGGTTAATTTTCATTTTGATTAATCATGTGATGGAATAAGATCAGATTCAATATTTTTTTAGAAAAGTATCTAAATGAAGGAAGGCAAGCATGTTTTTTCCCTTGCTCCCTGCATTGCATCTCCTTTGTCCCCTTAGGGAACTTTCTGACCCAGCTAGCCCTCCTTCCTCCAAAGCTTAGTGAGTGGGGTGAATCAGTAAAGCAGTTATCCTCTTCATTTTCCTCAGCTTCCAAAATCCAACAGCACATCAGTGGCATTTCTCATGGTGACGGTGACAGGGGACACACTRCAGTTCAAGAGCCGCAAGTCAGTGCTGGTCAAGAATTCTGAAAGCTTGGTCTTCGTCCAGACAGACAAACCCATTTACAAGCCTGGACAGACAGGTACCGAGAATTGGGATGGTGTTGACTCTGACAGCATAAAATCTGAAGGACTTAATTCTCCAGAGGTGCCATACTTGAATACAAGTTTTCAGATTTCGTCACAGGGGGATTTAAGGTACTCAGTAAATCTTATTTCTGTCAGCTGAGATCTAGTTCATGGTACTTTCATCATTGCTCATCTTCATTCTCCAAGCAGAGCTTCTTAGCCAGATGTAGGCACAGGCTCTGATTCATTCTACTCAACTAGTGGCACAGAACTGGGATGACTGCAAAGCACAGTCTCCCTGGGCTGCACCAGAGTCAACAAAGCAGGACAGGCACTCCCAAGAGATAATTCAAWTCAGCCAAGACCTGATTATCCTTCTAAATTTATCTGTCCCTCACTATCTGCAAGAGAAAGAGTCTGAAGTAATTGTTTCTATTACTTAGAGATCTCAGCTCAGAGTCTGTTGAACTGTGGAATGGATCTGAGGTATAAATTATTGAAACATAGACTTTTCCTGGTGATGGCTACAAATCTAACAGTGGAATTTCTTTTTTTTTTCCTTTACACCCTTCAGTTCAGTTTCGGATCATCTCTCTGGACACAGACTTCTACCCACTGARTGAGAAGGTAGAGTCTTAACTCCTTGTTGTTAGCCTGGAACCATTATTGTCATCATCCAGACCCCCTGAAGACAGCCTTTAAAGCATATGATGCACTCTCACACCACCTTCACCATTCCATATTCTATCCTAGCACACACTCCACCTGTTTCTATTGGCTGAAAAACACATCCCCCTTTTCAAAAGCATATAGRTGTTTAAATCCAGATTTGTAAAGGAATGTATGTGGCTAAGTATATGGGCAGGGATCTCATTACTGAAAAGGTGTGCAGTTGTTTCTGGTAGGGGATGCAATCCCACACTTTGAGACAGAGCGACGTGACAAGAACTTGGTTTTATGGCTCTGGCCAGGGGTGCAAGCCCCTCTTTTATTTTATTTGACAATCAGTTCCTCATGCAGACAAGGTCTTTGAAAACTCTTGCTTCATCACATTTGCATACTATGGTAAGACAAAAAGTCAAGGCCCTAAAATATTGTAGAAAAGATTCCCTTAGCCATCAAGAGCCAAAGAAACAGAGCAGGTAGAGAAAGGGAAGAATCCAAAGAACTGCTTCGAMGTTTGTTCTGCCCTTCAGTCCAAATCTGGAAATTACTTCCATGTGATYAATGTTTCTAACACTCTTTTTCTTTTGCTCTTTCCCCACAGTTTCCATTTGTCTACATTCAGGTGAGTGGAAAACTGCATTATTCTTTGCAGAAGAACATGCAGGAATGGAGGTACCAGTCTCCAGCAGGGGTATTTTCAGCCTGAAGTGCAAGAGAAAAATCACGAGCATGTGACTTTTCCCTTTGTTTAAAGGAAGGCTGAGTAGCAGGGCATCTAAATAAGTTCCAACAATGGTTCTTTGATCACAGAACATACTGTAGGAACAAACTAAATAACCATTAGAAGCTGTGCTGTGAACAGAACTACACTTGCCTAGAGGTCATCAAAATGTCTTATGCCTCTTCCCAGTCAGAGCTGAGAGTTTCTGTCTGCCAAGTGTGGCTGAAATTAGAGACCTGTGTTAAATAAGCAATCAAAACCAAAGAAACAAAATTAGGTAAGCAGACATCCCCTGTCTTCCCAAGCACATATCTGTTGGGTTTTTTAATGGTTGAACTTCAGTGGCAGGCAAAAGTTAATTGGAAGGATATTTCTGTCAGTGATTCAAGCACTCACTTTTTCAGATGAGAACCCAAAATTTATAATTATTATTTGGGATATCGTCTTTCAAAAAAAACCTAATGGTAAGGGCCTATGGATGGACTCTGAAATTAGCGTGCCCCAGTTTTAAGTTGGTTTAAACGATTAACAAGTCCTATGTAGTCAGTCCTTTCATTGTTCCTTGCTGCTTGGGGTTGCTGTCTCCATTCTGCTCTATCTCTGTCCAGAGCTGGGGACCCTTCACAGCAAAGGAGACACAAGGCAGGCCAAAACCAGGCTGTGCCCCTTTTCTATATCCTCCTTTCAGAGTGCTGTGGTTCTCTCTTCCCATCAGCAAACTTCCAGAAAAGAGCTGCAGARCTGGTGGATCGCTGATGGTCTGTGAATATTAGAGAAAGGAAATTAGGACAGTGGGTSGTGTGGATTAGCAGGCCAAGGGGAGCATCTCAGAACTACCTTTTGCTAGGGCTGTCTCATGGGGTCCCTTCCCTTTCAATGAGAGGATATTTTACTGAGTATAGGAATTTCATGAAAGGAGCAAGAACAAATGCATCCTCTCCGCTGCCTCCAGAAATATGTCTTTACCTAACAAGCTGAATAATTTCATAACCTTTTTGTGTGTGTGTGAATACCATGGAAGCCTCCAATTTTAAGTCCCTAGGAAGGCCATCTGTGTTTTCAGCTCTAGCCTGTAAAGCGTGGTTCTTGTCTTTGCTGTTTAAGTCTGCTCATGTAGGCCTTGTCCTTCATCCCCACCATCCCCTTTCCCTTCCTCAATGCTCCTTCTCAGTCCAGCACTGCCCTTTGTTTGGATTTCACAGCTGTCTACAATGTCATCTTGTACAGTGGGAAACTCCTATGGCAGAAAATTCACTGGTTTACTCTAGAATACTTTTTTTGGCCAGATCAGATCTATCAGTGCATTTTACCACATGGTTGCATAAAATTTGGCATGGACCAAAGGAAAGAGTGGCAGGAGTGAGGAAAGGTGACAGCCTAAAAGTCAGCACTTTTAAGGAAATAAATGTCCATCAGTCCAGTCCCTTAACGTCACTAATTTATCTTAGTGAAGCACAAAGGCAGAAGTTAATATGAGTCTGCTATTTCTGAACTATTATCCTGACCTACTGCTTATGTAATTTTTTAAAAAATAGAACACCTTTCTGAGGAAAAGCAAACTAGCTTTCAGGCCTTCCCTGTAGACACATCACAGGAATGGCCATAAGTTCACAAGCCCAGCTGTAAACATTTTCTTGAATTCCTCTTCAGAGGAAACCCAGGGGTGTCCCTCACAATAAGTGGTGAGCTTTTCAGCAGGGTCGAAATGTGATGATGAAGAGGATTTGGTCAGAGCCATGGGGATGCATTTTACTGACTGTGCCACCCTSCCAGGTGGCTTCTTGGGAACACAGCCCCTTCTTCTGCCCCTTGACTGATGGCCTCCTCCAGCTGGGAGATGTCATTCACATCCCCATTTTCCCCCAGCCYTGAGATAAAATCTCAGTGAAGTAAATGCACACAGTCACATACCTTGAGTCACACACCTATCTAGAGTAAATAAACTTCTGGTGACAGCCAAGGTACAATGCAAAGAGCAGGCAGAAAATGAAAGAATGTAAACATTAACCATTCTGCTGAGGAGCCTGAAAAAGTGCATCAAACTACACAGCACCACCATGCTGTTTCAGTGACTTTGAGAAGACATTTGGGGCTGAGTGGATTAATTAGTGATACTCAGTTAATAATGAGCAGTACACAGATGTAGCAGTGGTGAGACTTCAGCTCCAGCATTAGGAGCATGGAGACACAGCAGGGGATCTCTGCTGAATGCTGATACCCATGTGGGGTATACTTTCCTCTGTCCCTGTGTCACCATTCCTCAGCCCACCACTAGCTTAGGACTCTTACACATGCCCATTTCTTAGTTCCACAGATAAGTCAGGCATCCAATTCCTCAGCATATTGTGTACTGGTACTGCAGCAGTCTCCATCCCAGGCAGGGGTAAAAACCCCCATACTTTTGCAGGCTATATAGCCAGTCAAGGAAACTGACAGTTCCCCTCCTTTCTCCATGAGCTCCACTTATATCTGATATCAATCTCTGTGCCTTGTTACCTTGCCAGTCTGTCTTGCCCAGCTTCCTGGCTCCATCCTTTGCAGGTAGACCTGAGGGGGAGAAAACACCCCTGGGCATAAAAGGTTTTAAAAGCTTTCTTGCATGCTAATTATGCAGAATTGACAGGTAAGTGCTTCCAAAACCTCACGGATTGTTGAATAATTACAGACAGGCGTTTCTCAGTCTTTACACTGGGCACTGCACTGCTCTGTGCCTGGCATTCTCCTCACTGTCCTGTGACTCTGCTGCCCTCCCCTGCAGGATCCCCAGAGGAACCGTGTGTACCAGTGGCAAGGGGTGCAACTCGAAACAGGCTTTACACAGCTCTCCTTTCCTCTCACCTCGGACCCCATCCAAGGCTCCTACAAAATAGTYGTGCAGAAGAGCTTCTCATCCCATGTGGAGCACTCCTTCAGCGTGGAGGAATTTGGTAAGGAGASAAAGTTGAAAGCAATGCTTTTCACTGTGACCTCTCCATTTGGAACTTCCTACGAACAGTGTGGAGAAGGGAGGGACGGAATACTCAGGCAATGGGGTTCACAGGGGCTGAGTCAGAAAGTGCTAAGTATCAGAAGTGATTGCTGACTTTATGGCATCTCTGCAACCCATCTGAGCTTGTGTTTGCTCATAGTACTTTTGGGAGCGCAGGACATGACAGAACTCCTGTACATGGCTTGAGGCATCAATTCCAGCTGACATTGTTTTAGTTTTCCATCCAGCAGTTTGTTGCAAGTAGCACTAGGTATGAAGTAAGAGGTGACAATATTTTGGTGACCATATTTTGCTTCTCTCACCATCTGCATAAGGTCTCTTTCTCCATTCATAGTTGTCTCTATTTTTGCTCTTCCTTGTTTAATGCAAAAACTTAGGAAACATGTTTGGTAGAAAAGCTGTGAATGAAGAACAACCCATGAACATTACAAACAGACTGATAGCAGAGACTGAGTAAGGAGAAATACGCTGCTGCAGGGAACTTTTTAACCCTCAGTTCGGTGATAAAACTTCYCAGATGTTTGTAGATGTGTAGTCTGGGCAGGCTGTTGGATTTGAGAAAGCCAGTGTTTCACACTCCCAGGCTCTCCACTGACTCTACATGAAGCCCAAGTGCTGATCAGGACCTGCTGTTTCTGGACTATACAGGGTGTGACCCAAAGGAGATTGTCACCGAAGTTCATGGGAGATGGCTTATTTGGCTTCAAGTCAGGCATGGTGAATAATTTGACCACAARCCCAGTTATAAGCTTTGATCTGCCATGGTGACAAATGGCCCATTCCTCCTCCCACAAAGACCATTCTGYATGCCCTGAAAAATCAAAAATCTATGTCCCTTTGTTAGCCTCCTACTAAACTGATTTCTTTCTTTTGTTCTTCAGTCTTTTTCCTACCAATCTCTCCTATTGCTATTTCTCTTACTGTTTTTTGAGGAAATGTRCCCTGGAGTTGAAACATTGAACCTTGCCTCCCATCTTAGAGGCAAATTTATGTCAAAACTATATAACCCAGGGTTACTTTCCAGTTCCTAGGTCTGGATGTGCACTCACCTGCTGTTATTTCCTTGAACTGTGGAAAAAATCTCAGGTGCGCCACCTGGAAGCAGAACATTACATGCTTCAGTTCAGTTCTGGGCATGAGGAGTTTGAGGCATGGGTCTACAGGATGCAATATGGGAAGAGGGATGTAACTTAATACTCAGGAGAAAAATATGTATTTTACTTGTGCCCCTTTATATTGGGCTTTATAGCTKCCTCTTCCACTTGAAAATGTGAAAAACCTGAGACTCTGTGGCTAGGTTCACTAGAACTCTCWGGGTATGCAGGACAATATCCCATGGTGCATCTCAGTGAGCCTAAGAGCAGCTCCGGGTCTCCAGAACCATAAGAATCAGCCAGGAGGATCAGTGATTCAGGGCATTTCAGTGTGATAAATTACAAAGGTGGCAAATGAGCTGCTCCGAGTCCAAGGTGCAAATTACACAACACACAGGACCAGTGTGTCCTTCATGGACACAAGTGAGGAATCCACTCAACTGCCTGGTGCCAGTGGGATCACAGAAACTGTGCTGCAAATAAGGGAAGGTTAAGACTGCAAACYTCCTTAATTGCCTTTAAACCCTAACAGTAGTGAAGGCTGAGAAAGCCTATGRAAGGGGTAGAGATCTGTGCTGAAGACCACAGAGAGGTTCATATTTAGATGATCCTGGCTCTGTGCTTGGGTGGCTGTGTAGTAYACAGCTCTCATTTATTCTTCTCATACCAGACTTTCTCTCTCCTGTCTAGTGCTGCCCAGGTTCGAGGTCCTGGTGAAGGTGCCAAAGATGATCACTATTAAGGACAACGAGCTTCCCGTGTCTGTCTGTGGTCTGTGAGTCACAGAGCTCCAGTAAATCTCTCTTGCTTATCCTTCACCCCCCCTTTCTGCTGAGGAACAAAAGAAGAGTTCAGGGAGGCTTTTTAAACTTTTCCCAGGCATCTAGTGCAGGCTTATTTCATTCTGTCAATCCTGAGCCTGCTGCTTGGCCTGAACAGTCAAAGTGAAAGTTCTTCCCCGTGCTCCTTGAAAGATTATGTCAAACAAATCTGCAGCTCTCTCTTCCCAGTTTATTTTACATTTTCTCTTTCTGTCTTTACACTTCTTCAGTTAGTTTCAGTTAGTGTCAGTTAGCTTCTCTGCCAATATTGAACCCTCAAATACTCCATGATGTGAGAATGGACGTCATTTAAACTGGTGATGCAAACCCAGTATTCTCATTTTTAACTCATAAATCRCTTCTCCTGAGTCCCTGGTTGCCATTCCTTTTCTTCACTGAACCCTGAGCAGTTTGTAATGTTGTAATACAATGGTGCTCCTGTCTGACATAATTTTCTAAAGTCAATCTTCTACAGATACCTCCCACCTGGAGCAGAATGAATGTTTCTTCCATGGATAATRGAAGAATCTCAATATGGAAATGCTGGAAATCATTAAAATGTCAGATCAGTCAGCCTTTAAGAAGTATTAGGAAATTGTCCACCGAGGTCTTTAAGGAGATGTCCCTAAGTGTGACTGTGACTGTCTCATCTGATACATTGTTTAACACATTGTGATTATAGGTACACCTATGGGAAGCCTGTTCCTGGTTTGGTGAATGTCCGAGTATGCCGGAAATTTTCCCAGTCTGCTTCAAGCTGTTATGGAAAAGAAGCAGAATCTGTGTGTGAAGAATTCACTAGGCAGGTGAGCCCCAAGATTAAAATGTAGTGGTTTTTCTTAAGGTTAATGGTCAATGTTGTCTCAAGGGAGACAAATTTGTGACTTTTTGGGAGATTGTAGGGCATCAGAGATAGCATTCTCTCCTGGGAAAAGCAGAGAGTCTGAGGAAGGCATWCTTAAGAGAGGGATCATTAAACTGGAAACACAGCTGACGATGAAAACCTGACCCCACTGAAACCAGTGACAAACATCCAGCTGCCAGTCATGAGGTCCTTGTTCCACAAACTGASAAAAGAATCTTTGGAASAATTTTGTAACTGYGAGAGGGATTGACTGGGAGCAAGGAGCAAAGATGAGGGGAAAAYRAGAAGGCAGTATAGAGAATGAGGAACAAAGAAGATCAGGTGGTATTGTATATGGGTCAAATACAGGAAAAGGGGCAAAAAGGAGAAGAGAGRAGACAATGGAAGAAACAGGAAGAAAAACAGAACTAAGGCAGGAGGGAGTTAACAAGGTCACAAATGTGGGCCTTGGAGTTCTGTGTRTCAGGTACCTTAGATGACACAGAAAATGTACTGATGAGACACTAGGAAACAGGCTGAACACAAGTTCTGGYCTTGGAGGCAGCCCTTGAGCACACGTCTGGAATTTCATAAACAGAAGTTAAGCATGTTGTGTTTGGGGTTTCTATTCTCATTCCTCAAGGCACAAACTTTATTCACAGAATTTCAATTTCCTCTCCAATCCCTTGCTTAGGCAGATGCTCGTGGGTGTGTTTYTGGTGTGGTGAGGACCAAGGTGTTTCAGCTCCTACGCAAAGGATATGAGATGAGCATTGAGGTACAAGGCAAAATCACAGAAGATGGCACAGGTATGTCACATGTGGAGAAGGCAAAGTCATGGCAGGCTGTAACAGGAAGAACTGGCGAACACGAGGAAGGCAGAGTCGCATGACCAGATTTTGATTAACAATCCGTCTTTGCTGTGCTCTGTCTCAGGAATAGAGATGACTGGAACAGGTTCCTGTGGAATCACATCCACCATGAGCAAAGTCCGCTTTGACCTGCTGGACCACTTGTACAAGCCAGGGATCCCACTCTTCGGGAGGGTAGGGAACTTCTGAGMCCGTGGACAGGGAATGGCACAGCAAACACAAGTGCACAGTCCCATGGGGCAGTAGGGTGTGCAGGTCAATGGTTCAAGAGGCAGATGATCTGTGGTGGAGGTCCMAAATGAAGCTGGCTGGGGGATTAAAACCACAGAGAAACTTAGGATCCTGATAGATAATTTCCATGGGCTGACCGGTTGTATTGCTGAGAGCATTCTCATTTGTTGCCTCAGACAACTCAGGGCACTCCTCACACATTTCCAAATCCTTTCCTTTTGTTCTTCTCTATCAAGAAATATCCTACCTGGCAAGGAGAAAARGAGGGAAGAGGATGTATTACACAGGAATTGGTTTTTGTTGCAAGTCTAAAAGCTGAAATTTGTTGTTGCKTTGTTAGGTGAAGCTGGTTGATGGCACTGATGCTCCAATTGCCAATGAAACCATAACAATTGCTGTGGGTGGAAACAAATTCAAGGAGAATTACACTACAGATGAGGAGGGACAATCCTGGTTTTCCATAGACACTACCAGCTTCACGGAACTCTCCCTGGAAATCCGAGTGAGTGGCTGAGACAGGGGTAAGCCTCTGTCTTTCTCTTCAACAACGCAAATATCTATCCATGGATTATCAGTCTTTCCTGCCAATTGGAAAACAAGGCAAGTTTCTTGGCAGGTCACCTCACTTCTCTGTCTTCTGTGTATGTAATCCACAATCTCCTAAGAATGGGAAATACAGAACATATCCAGCRTTTTTCTGTGGACTTTTATGTGTCTTTTTACCGGATTTTGTTTGGCTATCAACCTTTTATTCTTCTTTGTCAGGCAGACCATAAGCCTGAACTGAACTGTTATGACAGTGACTGGATGACACCATCCTATGAGCATGCCACGCGCAGAGTAACCCGGTCTTACTCCAGCAGTAAGAGCTTCCTCAAAATTGAACCAAAGGCTGAGACATTAAGTTGTGGCTCCTCAGCAGAGGTGCCAGTGCACTATATCTTCACACCAGAGGCCATAGGGGAGCAGAAGAAAATCGTCATTTATTTTTTGGTAAGACATATTTAAGGTTGTTTTGATCTATGGCCACAGAAAGTACTGTGCCATCTCTAGCTGTGCTCTATGATGAGCAACCAGAGCACTGCTAGAGGGCAGGTTATGATGGATAGGGTTTGAAATGGAAAGTGTGGCCTGCAACAGTGCAATCAAAATACAATTCCCTAATTTTTCTCTTTCTTTTGTCTTCTGTGTGCAGAATTTTGAGAGACCACAGTAATTGGAACAGACTATAACGTGCTGGCATTAAGAGCTATGAATTTCTTTATTTTGGGAATCAGGGAAATGAGAGTAATTGAACTGTGACCAAACAATGACATGTCAGTTATTCTTGGGAGAAGAGGAAAAAATCAAAAGAAAATTCAAAGAGAATGTCTTTCTCTCTAAATTTGTTTTTTCTGGTTAACCCATTTAATGATGCTAGCAGAGGAGGTAAGAGTAGCTTTAGAGAACAAGAAAAATATCAGTGGAAGAGACTTCAGTTCTGGTGGACTGTACAGAACATCAGTGCAACTCGGGCTGATATTCAAAAAGAGAMTAGAAACCTGTGTTAGAAATGTCTATGTGCTCATTTTCAAGACTGCTGAAAATTAATGGAAGGACAAGATACCTATTTATCCCAATAGCCTAGGAAAATTGGCTTTAAGTATGCACATACAGCAGGTAAACAAACAATGAGAGAACTTCCATTTTTACAGGYGTGGATCCCACACCTTGAGATTCAAATATGGTGCTATGGAACAAATATTCTACATCAAAAGTAATTAAATAAAAGGCTTTTTTGACAGTGAAAAAGGATGCTTTTTCTAGAAATGAGAAAATTACAGGAAGCATTTCAGCTGTTGCTTACTGCCTKACTTTAGGTACTTTATTCAAGCTCTTATTATTTGCCGGCTGTGGTCTTCTGTCCCAACTCTGTGCAGTTAGAAAACTAATCCTGGTGAAATTTTTCTTCATATGTTTCACAATGCAACTGAGGGAAAAATGAGAAGACTTTTTGATACCCAGTCTCTTCCAAATTGTTTAAAATGTGCAGTTGACTCTCAAAGTTRTATGTGGYTAAAGGCAAAATGCATTCCTGATCYATATAATTAATATGCACAAAAGCAAAGATAAGTATGATCAATGTGGAAACACTGGTCCTTMTAGGAGAAAATATTTCTGTCTCCAAAGACCCCGTAAATTCCAGCCTAGCACTTGCTTAGCATCTTCTTGGTGTTGCTCACACTCTGCAKTTAACCCAGTGAACATTCCTCCTCCTGCCTTTCAGCACTGGTAGCAACAATTACAGGAAGATTTCTCTGTTACACAGGTGATGGCCAAGGGACAAATCATTTTATCTGACACCCTTGATCTGACTGTGAATCCTGGAGATGGTGAGCAGACCTATGCCTTTTGAGCATTTCTGATGATAATTTGGATCAGGGGGGATGTGGATAAGTTACTTCAATTCAATYGCTGAATTTAACATTTCATTCAAACTTTGAACTTAATGTTTGAATTTCCAAAGTTAAACCTTTTTAGATGAAGTGGCTTTGGTTAGTTTTGTTTTCTCTGAGTTCCAACAGGTGGTATTTTTTTAATCASAAAATGTTAGAAAATTCAACCAAAAATAAGTATAATGTTTTGGCCATTTCCTAAAACCAGCACTTTTTGATGGCTACTCTTTCTTATTCTGATTGTGGATGCTTACCAATGTTGTGACTCGTGTACAACAAGCAGGAAGAAGAGTGTGTCTCCTTTTCTTTGTCTCTCTCACTTTGCTTAATTGTTTTTGTCTTATTGCTGCCTTGTAAGCATGCAAAAACATGCACACCTATATTCTAATCAACATATTTAAATTTATTCACATAMATTTCCAAGAGTTACACATTTCAGTAACTGAGACAGGATGTGATGCAATTTTAAATGTGTTTTGAAAATGAGAAGAGGGAGGCATTTTGYAAGTCTGTGAGAAGGAGTTGCCCTGCAGTGAATATAAACAGATTATGGCAATAAAAGATCTCATGTGCTGTACAAAGTTCTAGACCCTCACTAATACCAGTGACTCAACCAACAGCCAGGCTACTACCAAGGGATGTTCAGTCACCTTGTCTAGATTGTGACATAAAGTTCAGACCCAGATAAAAAGAATTTTCCAGCACAGAGGGGCATTTTCTACCATGCTTGGAGCAACAGTTCGGTGTTCCAGATAAGTTCTTGCTTAGCAGTAACCTTGCCAAATTATTCTTTCAGCCACTCTGCAATCTGGACTGCTGTCACTCTTTGCAACAGTCGTGATACCTTTTTTCACCTCGACTATTTTTTTGTAGATCTTGGAGCTTGAGGGAAAAACAAGGGTTGGGAACATCAAGAAATTATGCCAGATATTAACTGAGGAGAATCTAGAAGGCAGGCTGAGGCCCTCCAAACTCATATCGTTTGTCAACTCACAATAAGTCTTTGAATGTAGATGTCTTCAGCAACAGCCATAGATTTCAGTCATGTATCAGTTTTATGGCCCCTGATAACTAAAAATGTTCAGCATGAATGATCCTGTTTTTGTTTTTTTTTAATCTGGGAAATGAGCTTGACTTTTTTAATCTGGGGAAGGCAAATGCCYTTACTGGGACCTCTTGTGTATTGAACAGCCTTTTTTTTTCTCTCTGTTAGCTTATGGGACATTTCGGTTGAGCTTCTCTGTTGGGGCAGCAATTGCTCCTGTGGCACAGGTGCTTGTGTACACCATTTCACCCAGTGGGGAAGTCATCGCCAGTTCAGAAGATTTCCAGGTTGAAATGTGCCTCCCGAATAAAGTGAGTATAAGTCATGGTTTACGCAACCCATGTTTGTCTTGTGGCTAGYAGTTCAGTGTGGATTTCCAGAATGAAGGCAGGATTCACAATGGGTGCATGAAATTTTCTGACCAGATGTTAACTGAGGGTTGTGACCAGAATAAGCTGCAAAGCTACAAAAATTAAAAGTGGGGCAAGACAGAATCAAAAAGAGAATCACTTATCCTTATTAATTACATTGGTCAAAGATTAATATGTATTAGGAGAATTGTAAGACACTAACAGAGCTCAGTTCACAAGGCTAGAAGTGTCAGAATAATAGATGTTACTGTGTCTGGAAAAGTGGTTGCTTCAACTTCCTTTTGGATTTGCAGGTGAAATTGAGTTTTGCACCCAAGGAAGGTCTTCCTGCTTCCAACACACACCTGCAACTCCACACCTCTCCGAGATCCCTGTGTGCTCTCCGTGCAGTGGACAAGAGTGTTCTCCTTATGAAGCCTGAAAACGAGCTTTCTCCCAGCTCTGTGAGTCTTGGCTGCTTTTGGTAATGAGCAAGGACAAGAACCAACCAAGTACCCACTAACACTATTACAGACCTGGGGCTGTGTATTTTTATAGTTGCATACAGTGCACTTCATTTTTAGAAGCTGGCATTTACCAATGGATTGTTAGGTTGTGTCTGTCCCCATAAGTGCTGACCTGCTGCATTTTTCCCTGGTTTTTTTTTGCATTTCCCCAGTTGTATCAACTTCTCCCACTGAAGGAAAGCCAGGGTTATAGCTTCAGGGACTACTATCTGGAAGAAGACAACGTAAATCCATGTGTGTCGCTTGACAATCTGTCATTAAATGGATTTCTCTACATACCCATTTCTTCTGACGGCGAAGGTGACGCCTATGACATTTTCAAAGTAAGAACCAGCCTTTCATTTTTCTTTTTTTGTTCCCTTTTGGAATTCAGTCTCCTCTATTCTTCTAACTTGTCCTGAAGAGCTTTTGAATGAAAAAACAAAAAGCTCATTTGCTGTAAACTTGCTCATGTTTGTATGCAAACAATAACCAGRCCCAGTTGCTACATCTACTTAGCCTATAAGTAGCAACTGAGTACTGCTCTAAAACATTAAAATTTTGAAATGTCTCTTCATAGCAGAGTTATCTGCAAATGGGCTTGGGTAAGGAAACAGTCTTGAGAAATTATCTCTAGTGCCATAATAATAGAAACTCCTTGTTCATTCATGTTTTCTTTCTCTGGTTTAAAAAGGTCTTTAATAAAGTATCATTTAATTTGGTAACCCACAAATCCACGTATACAAATCCACGTATACTCATCCAAAGTGCCCTGCACAAGGTTTTTGGGTACCCTYAGTCCAGTGCATTTCATATATGCCATTTTCAGCCAGGCAGCTGTCCCCAAGGTAGGCCTATGGCCTTGCCTTTCCATCTGATCATGCCAGGATTTAGCCTTAGTATAAGAATAACATGATAGAGACTCCACACCTCTGTCCAACCAGCCTATCTGGAATTTACATACAAGCCTTTGTTATTCTGATCAACACCAGACTTAAGTACATCYATTCTTGATATACTAAATAAAGTTTATTTTCAAACAATTTTTTTGCATATCTTTTGTTCTTCTTTCTCTTTGTTTACTAGGAATTGGGCTTAAAAGTCTTCACTAGCAGCAAGATCCATAAGCCTGAACTCTGCGAGCATTACCCAGAACACATGATGGAAAGGAGTTACAGTGGTTCTAGTACCTTCTTGGTTTTACCTCTCACACAACCTCCTACAATTTATCACCCTGCTTCTTTCCTTCCCTCTCTGAATCTTTGCATAATAATTATACAAGCAGATCTGATTCTATTCTGATATATTGAACTAATTCAGGATCCCTCCCTTCTGGACCTAGTCCTSAAATATGAAACTGATCCATCTCTGCCTGCATTTTCCCAGGCAGACAGATGTGCCTGGCTAGAACTGTGTGTGTGTGTCGACTCCCACACCAGCCCCTACAGCAGGGGAGATTCTGTAGGCACTAAAAGTCTTTCAGCACAAAGTAGTGGCTCTTTTTTTTCTCATCAGATCTGAGTCCAKCTATGAAAACCTAAAAAAGGAACATCTGCTTCTAGGCAGCCACATCTAGCAATAGCTAGAAGAGCAACTAGGGCAAAAGCAGGCCAAGACAAATAAGAAGCTGATACAACCATGTGGGTTGATATTTTACCAGTGGGGGCTGAGAAATTTGTTTTTTTTTCCCAGTTTCCCCACTTACATGACTATAAATGGCTAGGTAGGTCATGTCACTTCTCTGCAGGTTCAGAGACTGTGAAGATAGGAGACTATTACTTTTGTTTGTCTGTTTTCTTAAACAGATCTGAGATTAGAGAAGCTATATAAAAGACTCACCTATATCACTGCCAGCTGCTGACTTTTATGGTGCAGTATCCCAGCTCCAATTAAACATTTCTAGCTTTTAGTCCAGTGACAGCTTCTAGCCTTCTACTTGTAAGAGATCAGAGCTTTGGTTTTGAGGTGGAGGATTTGTCATCRGAGTATAGCCCAAGACAGCTGTCTGCTTTGAGAAGATGTAAAGTCTTCCAAGGCTGATGAAAAAGCTTTTCATAAGACATAACAGTCTGCAACATTGTGAGGAAGCATCTTCCTGTATATTTGCTAATGGCCAGAGATGTAAAGACCCATATTTGTTTTTTTWAAATTCCTAGGTACAGGGTTAAGTGTGGCTTCTGTTTCTGGTCATGTATAAATGCAATCAATTATTCAGCCGTGTTATTAAACCATATGCCATGGCATCTGGGTTTATCTGGGGGCAGTAAGTTTCACATTTGATTCTGTATTGTTGTAGAAATATACTCTCAATAACATCATCATGCATGGTTCTTTTGGCACTGGTGGSTTTGCTGGCAGTGGGGGAAGAATGCTCAACTCGATCCAATCTCTGTAAGAAGAGAAGCAACATTAACAAAAATTAAATACTGAGATTGAAACAGAGAAATTAATCTTTCCAGTGGCCAAGATGTCAAAGCTGTTCTTTCAATTTTAAAATTTTACCTAAAAATAACCACTACTTGGAGGGAAAATATRTTTGTGGTTTAGAATAGAGTGTGACACATCTTTTCCTTTCTTCYTGTCCTTGAATAAATTTGCTAGTCTCTGCAATGAATCTGCATGGAGAAATGARTTATGACATGGTAGAAGATATGGTTGATGGCAATTCTATGGAGACTGTCCGGAAGTACTTCCCTGAGACATGGATCTGGGACATAGTTTCAGTGAAGTAAGTGTTTAAGGGAATGCAGAGTGTGGTCGCTGGCCCAAAGCCTTGGGACAGGTGAAAGTCCCAATGGAACTATCAGTAKTTCAGTGAGAGGGGTATTTCTAGTAGACAAACAGATTTTTTGCAGTCATTAAGTATATGATGCTTTAGAGCAGCATGCAAAAGCCAGTGTCTGCTCAGGAGTTTGCTGTCAGAAGATGTTGCTCATTAGGCTGAGAGGGGAAGAGAACACCAGAATATAACAGAAATCTTGTTCTCTGTGTTTCACCAGCCCTGAGGGAAAAGCTGATCTAAAAGTGACCATCCCTGACACCATCACTGAGTGGAAAGCCAATGCATTCTGCACTTCAGCAGACACAGGCTTTGGCCTGTCCCCGACAGTGTCCCTGAGAGCCTTCCAGCCCTTCTTTGTGGAGCTCACCATGCCCTACTCTGTAGTGCGTGGGGAGTCCTTCACRCTGAAAGCCACYGTTTTCAACTACCTGCCCGCCTGCATCAGGGTAAGAGATGCTCAACAGCTTTGCTCAGCCTAACAGGTCAGAGAAGAGTACAGTGGGGCATTTTTAACAAGGTTTTCCAAGCCAGATGACTGATCTGCAAATTTAATTTCATATAGGTGTACATATGTAGGAACACTTATATTCAATGAAGAAGGAATATGTTTTCCTGCTGAAGTTTTGAAAGCTGCATTTGATTCAGAGCCCACAGCTTTGCTACTGAGACCTCCAGCCTTGCCATCACAAATTTATGCCATTTATTTCTATAGAAATATAGAACTCAGGTTCTTCACAGATGAAAGAATCATTGCATGTCCACCTGGAAACTCCAGGTTCAGCAGGGTGGATACCTGTGTTCAGCCTTCAGTCTCATCTCACAAAACCTCACAGAAGATTTGTTGGGATATGCAGACTTCCTGTAATTTGTTGCATCTGTCCCTACGACACTGAGCAGAGCGATGCAGCTTCACCATTCTTATGTGCATATTTTTCCAACAAAAAACACAAGAGAAAATTTGGGAAGTGCTTAGTGCAGAATATCAATTGCCTTTGGTCAGTTTTTTAGAAATACAGATTTTTATTCTAAAAGGAATGAAGCTGAAACAAGGAGAGACACTTATCCAATCATTGTAATGCACTCTCATTGATGTCCCTGCCTTTTTTGCTTTGTTTGCTATTTCTTATATTCTTTCTTATCTTATTTTGTTTGCTAATTCCTTGTTCCACTTTTCCTTGTTCCCTTATTCTACTTTTCCTTTATTCCTTTATTCCCTTATTCCCTTATTCCCTCATTCTTTATTCCCTATTCTCTTATTCCCTTATTCTACTTGTTCCCTTACTAGCTTTCCCACTGCTGGKGTTTCATCTCTTCACCTGAATAATCATGAGAGGGGTCTTTAATTCACAGGACAACCAGTCCTATGCTATTCATTTTCCCAGAATYGATTTCCTTTTCCAAAGATCCTATTCTCTGCCCTTACCACCCTGATCTCTTAAAATTCTACAAATTTCAGTCATTTCCCCCTGTATTAGGCATTTCTTGCTCTGCAATACCCATGAGTCCTCAGCCCCACAGTATGACYAGCTCCATTTCCCATTTCCATGTACTGCATTGTGTGTAACAACTCCAGTTTCTCTGCAAACCCAAATTTCAACCCCTTCTCTGTACAACTGGCAGGTCAGTGTGTCTCTGGCTGAATCCACTCATTTCCTGGCTTTACCAGTGGGGATACAGGAAGAATCCTACTGCATCTGCGTGAATGAAAGAAAAACTGTTGCTTGGGCAGTAACACCAAGATCTCTAGGTAAGAGGATTGGACAACAAGAAGATACCTGTGTATGGAATCAGATTTTTGATGTGGGAGCTAGGTAACTCCAAACATATTTATAAGGATCTTCTCTATGGCAAGAGTGAGTATCCAAACCCGAGGTTGAGACACTACACTGAGTGTAGTGTTTCCAGGTCCTAAAAGAATCATGTRTTACAGGCCATGGCCTTCCCAACATTTTAATATAAATCACAAATTCCCTTAATGCATGCCAAGCACTCAGACATTCCAGCTGGGACCTAAGCATGTCTTGTCTTAATGTGTCTGGGTCTGAAATTTTTTAAACAAAGCTTGCTTTCTCTGAAGCCTCCCAGAAAAAGACCATTTGATTTATGACACTTGCCCCATCACTACTCTTCATGCTGGTGGACTAACACTTGCTTGGGTGGCCATCMCAAAGGAGGTGGTCTGGAAGGTTGCATACAGATGGAGATAAAACCCTGTCTCAGATTTAGTTCTCCTCTTGGAAAACTCTGTCATGCATCACAGAGTGCCCAGCCCAAACACAAACCCATATTCCCCTGGCTCTRCCTGGMAGGGCTGACTGACCCCTGTTTCCTCCAGGGCAGGTGGAGTTCTCAGTGACCACTGAGGCCCTACAGAACCAGCAGCCCTGCGGGAACTCCGTTGTGGAGACCCCTAAGAAAGGGCGGAAGGACACGGTCATCAGACAGCTGCTGGTKGAGGTACGTGGGTTGCTGATTTTGGTGGCACAGAAAGCGGCAATAGTAACAGCAAGAGTTGCTGTGTGATAAGGATTTTCTGGTTTAACAGTGAGAGCAGCARTAATGGCTTGTCCAACTCTTATTCTGCAAGCTTTTTCAAAAGAAGCATTGATAAATCTAACACAGGCCAATAGAGCCCATAATTTACAATGTTGCCRTCTCACAGTCAAAGCAGGATCTTACATTACAGAGTAGGACAGGAATAATAAGGCAGGCAATAATGACAGGTTTTTCCGAGACACATCATATCAGAGATAAATGAGAAATCCTTGGGTTTGCCRGTAATAAATCACAGGAACAGCCTGTGAATGGAACACTAGCTGGAAAGCTTATGCTTCTCTTCCAGCACATGGCCATCACTCTGGAATATGCATTACAGAGATGCTGTTGCACTCTGGAATATGGAGCAGCCGCCACAATCTGCAAATATTTCTAAACAAAACTACCATCACTGTTTTGAATTGCTTTTATTACACTTYTAAGAGAATRTTCAAAACAGTGTAACTAACCTTTYATTTTTACATTCTTTTGTACACTTCTTTTCTTAAGAAGTGCTTTTCAATGATAAAAACACAGCTTTTCATATGATAAGTTGCCAGTCATACAATTAATCTGCAGTATAAGGTGCTATTAGCACACAAAGAGTACCAGCTTATTGTATAGGGAAATCTGTATAATAATAAGTCCTCCTTACACTTCAGACATTCCAGTTTTCAGTAAGGCAGAGCTAGGATTCATCTATCTTCAGGAAATGTTTTGCTAAACTGAACACAATGAAGCAACAACAGTCCTATCTGCTAGAATTCCTTTTTGTTTTTTATTATTTACAAATAGATTTGAATGTATAATACATGAACAACTGTTTAATTTTTCGGGAAATTTTTCCTAATTTTATATGCGCCTTCAGAAAAAAGACTGTTTTGTTTTTTGAAAGTGCAGGAAGATAGACCACTGTACAGTCTTTTCTCCCAGATGGCAGGGGAATGTAAATTACTGAATAACTATTGGAGTTACTTCTATCAGGGAGTCTGAGAGATTGCTCATCCTATCCTATTATTGTATTGTGGTAATTAATCTACAGCAAGCCCTGATGGGATGGAATTGGAGATCAGCATCCAAGGCTGAACAATTAATTAGCAAGGCTGGATATGGTGTAACATTCTTGGGGTGAACCAGCATTGTCATGAACACATGTATGACAATATTCCCTGCAGCAGGCAGTTCATTCCAGAGAGAGAGAAGTGAGTGTGCCAAAAGCCCCAGGGCATCTTCTTACCCCTCCCCACTTCCACCCAGAAACCAAGTATCACTGACAGCTCTTCAGGAAAAAGGATTTTTTTTTTCACCCAGGAATTTGTCATCAAGGAAAATCTTTCAAATAATTATAATTTGTATGTTTTGATTTCCTTTTGAAATGTTCAAAATCAAACAAAACAATGGATTTCTCATTTAGTTGCATATCAAAATGACATACTGAAACAAACGAGAGGTGCCTTTTCAACAGAAGCATTTAGCTCTGTCATGGTTTATCCAAATAGCTTTTCCTTTTTTACTTTTTTCCTGTTTTTTTAATACTTTTCTGTCTTTCCATACTGAAGAATGAAAGACAGTGTATTCTGACTGTGTGAAAAAGTGAAGACAATGACACCAATTTTTACGTGCTGGGGAAAAGTATCAGCTGGCAAAAGCTGGAAACCAGTAAGGAAATAATGGGAACTCTCCTATTTAGAGGTTAAAAAATTGATGCGGGGAGCTCACTAAAATAAGCTCTGACAAAAAATGTTCTCTGGCAAACATCTGATTCCTGAGTTTTCTAGAAAATATTTTCACCCATCTGAACAGAAAATAGGGATTCTTTTCTGACTTCGAAGACTGGACTAGAACTCATTAACCAGTTGACTGTGACATGTATTTAAATTTTGGTTGTTGTAACATGTCATCACTCAGCCATCACCACAGCCCAAAGAGCTCTGCTAGACTGAGTCACAGTGGGTGACACCTTGGGTGACACCTTGGGTGACAGGGTGCAGTGGCTCTGTTAGTACTGTTGGTAACATCACACTGCATGTTATTTCTATCCCTTCCTGTGAAGCTGCAGGGCCTCTCTCAGTAATAAGAAAGAAAAAAAAATATTACATTTCATACTTGTAATTGGCCAGCATGCTACAGCTCTCAATTATCCACAACTTAGCACATGGAGGAGGAAACTTTCTAGGCAGTTTTCAAAGAGCCCCTTTTAGTTTCCCTTTTGATATTTCTTCCTTTTCTCTGTTGCTGTTGTTTYTCATTTTTTGCTTTTTTCTTTCTTGCCCTTTTCCCCAAGCCGGAAGGGACTGAGATGGAAACCACGTACAATTCTGTGCTCTGTGCATCTGGTAAGAGTCATTTGTTCCCTAAGACTTTCTTTGCTGAGAAAGAAACTAAAGGGAGAAGAAAAGGTTTGTGAGGGTTCCACTCTGAGAAGAAAGGAGTAGGGATCTGATAAAATTGAACAAACTAGATGCATGTCCAACTGTTAGTGAAAACAATTCTTCCTGGAGGACAAGAGCTGAGGAAGTAATAGTGTCTACAATTAGAGAGGGAGAAGCATTTTTTTTAGGAAATTAGGCTGGCCAGGTCATTGCAGGGAGAGAATATTTGGGATTTGATAAGGTTATTTCTACTGCCTTTTATTTAACAGGTATAAAACTGCAAACCAGACTCTGCAGCAAGCCAGGTCTGCCCATCAAAGCAGAAAAGGCCAGAAGAATAGTCTGGAAAAAGTGTATTTGTCAGTCAAAGCAGGTTGATGGTGCTATTTAGAAGTCCATGACAATCTGTCTGTGAGGGTATTGCAGCCCAAACACAAAATTTGCAGGATGAGAAACTTCATCAGCAAAATTACAGATTAATGGATTTGTTGAAGTCAGGAAACCCCTATTCAGGGGTCTCACCCATGGATAGCTGCTACCCATGCATCTAGATAACTCTGGAACTCTAACCAAGGTAATCTGCTTTTTACCCCAGAAGAGTCAGTGTCAGATACCGTCTCCTTGGTTGTCCCAGAAACTGTGGTGGATGGCTCAGCCAGAGCATATTTCTCAGTGCTAGGTAAGTGAAACCTCCTTTAAGTGTCACATGCTATTGTGAAACACTGCCACTTCAGGCTGCGCTCAGTCTAATGGCCAATTTATGCCATAAATTGTCCCATTCCCCAGGTGACATCATGGGCACGGCCATGCAGAACCTGCACCAGCTCCTCCAGATGCCCTTTGGCTGTGGGGAACAGAACATGGTCCTGTTTGCACCCAACATCTACGTCCTGGACTATCTGAACAAGACAGGGCAGCTGAGTGAGGAGRTCAAATCCAAGGCCACTGGATACTTAGTGAGCGGTGAGATGGGACACACATTTTGCCTTTCTCTTCATTCCTTCCCTTGGTTATTGGATAAAGGATACCCTTGGCCAGTGGCCTGGATGACCAGCTTAAGGCTGTCTCTAGAAAAGAACAGGATTCTGGTAGGTTAAGGGGAGACAATACAGTATCTATAAGAAGGAATCCTACACTCAGCTGGTGGCACAGGATGAGACACAACAGCATCCAAAAAGGAACACGGRAAAAGTCCAGGGCTATAAATAACTCAGAATTTCTCTCCCTAAGAAAAACACTATATGAAATACATAAATCAGATTATAACCACTAATCATGWCAGCTGCTTATGTAGATCTTGAATTCTCCTTAGGATTGAGGTGAAGAAATTACTGCTCATTTTTGACCAGGGCAGAATTTTACCATATTACCTCGATCACATTGACAGACACAGCACCCATGGAGGTGCCCATGGTGGACATCTGCTGACTAGCAAGGAGTTGTTTTGACTCAGTTATTTTTGCGGGAAAATTGCACTCCAAAGAAAATTATCCTGTTTTCTTCATTCCTATTCCATGTAGGACTTGCAYTTTTAATCAGCTCTCCTCTGGGAACCATTCTCCGATTTCTCTCAAGTCTGGGATGCATTTATCTCTCCTTATGCAGTTTTGGGCAGAGAGCAGCCATGATCACAGATACCCAGTTTCCAGCTGGTTTTGGTGAGAGGAGGTACACAAGAATAGAGATATTCAGGGCTGGGGGTTTGCYTGAACTTCCTCTGTAATACTGAGCAGCATAGCTCACACTTGTGCCATTTGTTAAGGATGACACTGTCCTATGTGGGCTACATTTCCTTTGCATGGCCCCTTGAAAAGCACTGCTACAACTGAAATCTCTTTTTACTCTCCATTTCAGGGTATCAAAGACAATTGAAGTACAAACACCGGGATGGTTCTTATAGCACCTTTGGGCCACGTTATGGGCAAGTTGGAAATACCTGGTAAGACTTCAGTACCACTGGCTTTTCACTTCTGCCCTCTCATTCCTCAGTGTTCTCTAGTCACTGTGGAGTTTGGAATGGAGGTGGAGTTGAAGTTATATTGGTCCTGTGACCACTGATGGATACAGGGTCTGCTCAGGATGTCTTGGTTCCCTCTGTCATTTCCAGGCTCACWGCCTTTGTCCTCAAGTCCTTTGCCCAGGCCCGGCCTCACATCTTCATAGAGGAGAAGCACATCCASGATGCTTTGAACTGGCTTACTCAAAAGCAGAAGGARAATGGCTGTTTCCGCAGCTCTGGGACACTCCTGAACAATGCTATGAAGGTAATGTGTCCCCTGGTTGGCCCCACATGGCCGTTGTCAGGCTGGAAGTTGAGCATAATTCAGTCAGGGATCAACAGAGTTATTTCATTACTTGGGAGTTGGGAAGAGGTGAGGAGTTACATATGTGAGCAATCACAGAAGCAGGAAGCAGTCAACAGCACCTTTTTAAGGACTTGGCATGAAAAGGAGGCCAGGAAGAATTGGTCCTTGCACGATGTCGATACGTGGCACAGGGAGAAGTCAGGGATGCTGTGTGGGATCAACAAGTGCTTTTGTGTTTCCCTGCAGGGTGGAGTCAATGACGAGGTCACACTGGCAGCCTACATCACTATTGCTCTGCTGGAGATTCCTCTGCCTGTAACCGTATGTGTCTGCACCCCACCCTGAGCCACAGATGGTGCTAACCTGCCCTATTAGTATCCCAAAACCCAGATTATCAGGTCCCTTTACCTGTGCAAAGAAGAAATCCTGTCTGAATAGTCTTTTCATTTAAGCCTAGACTGAATTATAATTTTCCTCCATTTTCCTCCCCGTCCAATTCTGTCTCCTACATACATTTCATTAACATTTTTCTTTATTCTTTCATGGACAATAATGGATTTGCTCCATATAGGTTGGATTGACAGTGAGTTAAATAATATTTAATAATATTTTGAAGTGAGACCAACAGGTTTTCTGCACCTACAGATCATTTTATTTCTTGGTGATTCCTGTTGAATCACTCTTGGGCCTGTAGTGCAGACACAATGCCAGATCTGTAAGAAAGGATGGCACACTCAGGCATTCATTCTCACTTTCTCTGCTTCTTCTAGATGGTTTTGTGRGAAATCCCCATCCTTAATGCATGAAGAATTAAGTATACCTTTAGGTAATAGAGGATACCTATAGGGAATATAATCATGGCACCCTGTGAARAGACTGAGGACTGCTTAAGAGCAGTGTGGGGTTGGTCGTTCTGATCTCTTCACCTTGAGAGGATGGTGGTGCAGGTAAAATTGGGGTATGAATCACAGCAGAAGGACTGTTGAGCCAGTGTGGTTGCCAGGCAGCTGCAATCCCTCTGCTCCAAATGTCATAGGGACTCTTTTGTGTCTGAAGTTTTTTCCTGTGTAGCAAGAACCAGCAGAAGAAATTATTTTGTCAATAGGTGGCATGGATAGCAATAACTTCACCGGAAGGATATTGTCTCCTCATTATGTGTTGTGTTTAGAAGCCAAGATCTCAGGCAGAACCATATTGGATAATGAGGATGTTTTCWGCTCCCTTCTGAGTCTAAAACTGTCGCTGAATGTGAAGGAGGGGGTTTGTCAGTATCTGAGTGGGGCATGGGTGCATTTCAAGCTAAGCTGCATGAACTCCTAAGATTAGCACAGTCCTTAAAAAATTAAGGCTATTGGCAATCACTGAGAGTATTTCTATGAGTAAAATAAGCCATTTTAAACCCTCATAAAGAAATCTTACTAGCACTGTCCTGAGCATGTGTGACTACTGCCACATCCTGTCATTAGACTGGTCATCTCCCCAATACTTATCTTACAAACAGTAGTAGGCATGGGAAAACTTAGGTGTGGCATAGACACAACCAATTTTGGTTTTATTTTTGCTTTCTTAAAACCAGCTGAACTGCTTCTCCAAAAGGGATCACAAAAGATTTCATCTTCCAGTAGAAATGAAAGTACAAAGCAACAGAAAAATGTCTTTTCCTTCTAGACCCTTTATTTAACTGTAAATGTGCTGTTAACTCTCAGGTCATGGCATGTGTTTCCTGCAGAGCTACTCCTTCAATTTTATAGCAGATTTTCCATCAGAAATGAGGAGCAGTCATGTGTCTTGCTGAAACGTTGTGGGGCCACAGTGTCTGTTAGTCATAACACTACATTAAGTAGCCACCTTTTACTTTGCTGGAGTGAYTGTTCTCTTAAACAAAAACACACATCGTTAATGTTAACATCACAAAAAATACTCAAGAAAATACAAAAAAATCCCAGATTTTTTTCTTGTGCACATATAGAGTTTACCACCAAACTAGACTCTACATTACTTTAAACAAAATGAAATTCTTTCAAAACACCCTAGAAAAAGGGAACCAAACAAAAATTAATGGATAGAGAAGAGGGTGAAAGCACAGAACAGTCTCAGGATGATAAATGAAGGAGTAAAGCCAGTATTCAGTACACATAAAGCAATGAAGTATTTCAGAGAACTCCTCTTACCTGGAACACAACCAGGCCARTAATTCCTCTCAAGGAAGAAAGATTGGAGCCCTGCTTCACAGTCTTTAAATCAAACTGGGAAAACCAATGACAAGATGTACTAAAGAAAAGTAGATTCAAGATAAGGAACAGCATTTGGCTACCCATTTATTCTAAATAGGATTACTAAGCCTGGAGAAAAAGGGATACACGATGGTAAAATCTTTGTCAGGCCAGAGAGCTGGGATGCTAAGGGTCCATGGGTACCATACCTATTCCTGTTGTTCTAAGATGGACCTCAGTCCATGACTGGATGACCGGATTCAGCTCAGTCTCTCTCTCTTCCAGCACTCGGTGGTGCGGAATGCTCTGTTCTGCCTGGAAACAGCAGCAAATCAGCAGGAAAACCATGTGTACACCAAGGCACTGCTGGCTTATGCCTTTG